TCATTTGCTGAGCAACTTGCAAATATCTAATTTTTGCCGAGCTGCCTTGAGTAGGTAGATATTGTGATTTTTAATGTTCCAAAGGGGAGGTGAAAACAGAGGGTTTAATTGACTTGCCCAAGGAGGGGTGTCCGTATCAAAGCCAGGTCAGAGGTGTGTCTTTCACTGTCCCATACTCTCCTTCCCTCACCCCCACTTTAAAATGGCATAGCTGTCCTAGGCTATGTCTAGACTGCAGGCTTCTTTCCGATCTTCAGGAAAAAATTCTTCCGAAAGAGCACATCCACACTGCCAAAGTGCATCGAAAAAACGATCTGCTTTTTTGAAAGATAGCATCCACATTGAATGGATGCTATCTTGCATTTCATCTGTGATTATTATGGACGGAGTGGCCACCAGGGCACCTGTGCTTTTTCCTCTTTCCTCTTCTTTCGAAAGAACTCCCCCTTCAATGTCCACACACGCCTTTTTCTGAAAGAGCTCTTTCGGGAAAAGGCTCTTCCTCATAGAACGAGGATAACCAATGTCGGAAAAAAAACCTCTGGTCTTTCAATTTACTTTCAGAAGAACGCGATTGCAGTATGGACCTAATTGGAGTTTTTTCAGAAAAACGGCCGTTTTTCCGAAAAAAAACTCTGTGGTGTAGACATACCCCTAGAGATGGAATTTTTTTATAATTTATGTTCATTTTGTTATTCAAGCTTTTTCCTTAATATAGTATAATTATAATTACCCATCGTAACTAGGGAACCAAATTTCTTGGGGGACTTGGTAAGTATGTGTAAGGCAGCCTTTCACCTATAGATTACCAGTTCAAATTCACCCTCAGTCAGTTCCTAGTTGTGAAGGCTGCTTGGGTTTCTGTTTATTTCTCATGAGATCAGTGTCCTCACCAGCATGGCCATCTCAGCAGAATCCCAAGGATTGAATGGACCATGGAATCTACTGTCTCAGCTCGGGAAGTGGTCCTTTGAGGTCCATTTGTCATGGAGGTATGAGGGAGCTTGAACTGTCTCTGATGGCGATGGACCCATTCTGTGGACTAGGAACCCTCTGCCACCCAAGATAACATGTTTATTTAAACCACACTGTCTTGATACTGCCTTTGAAGGCCAACCCCACTATGGGTGTCTTTTCCTTTTCCTCTGGTGCTTAGAAGACTTTTTGCTATGGTTCAAATATATGCCTCACCAAAGGAAGCACCAGAGTTCACAAGATTAGTTCACCCTTTCAGAGACTGGCAATATCACTTCTAGACTTGCCATCCATCTATTTGACAGCTTTCTCATTCGAGGCTTGGCCCATTTTGGAAATCACTTCCCTTCGTCTCCCAAATGTGTTTTGGAAACTTCTCAGACTTCCCTTTATTGATGTCAGAAATCAGACAAATTTCTTGTATGGAACCTACTTGAGCAAAGGTACAACGTGGGAGCTGGCTGCTTCTTGTAGAACTGACTTTTTCGAGCCTTTTGCAATGTCAAAAAAATTAGCAAGGGTTGAGTGCACAGTTGCTGTAGAGGAGACCTGCCTGTCTAAGCAAATACAATCAATTCTGTAAGGGGTAAAGTGGTTTTATCTGGGTAGTCTCTTCCATCAGCCACAGAGTATAAAGGTCAGATCAGCAGATAATGCTGAATAGAGCAACATCTTGTTCAAACTTGTGCAGATATGTATGTCCTGCAGAAGTAAAAAAACAAAAACAGAATGATTTTTGAACATTTGCTCTTAAAAATGATTGACAATCAAATGACAGTGTACAAGACAAGAGTATCCCATAAAAGATCAGCATTTGACAAAAATCTTCTGACTTTGGTATCTGAGATACTACATTTTTTTCTGTACACTTAGAATAGGAAGCATTTAGGTATATATGTATTGGCAAATATTTATATTTTAGCTACTGTACACTCTCATTCTAGGACTTACTAGTTTGCACGGGATTTGTGCCCTAGCAATTTCTTGTGGGTACTTTCCAGCATATCTTTATCCAGACGAGAAACTAGAATCCATTTTGCAAGGTACTCTGTGCTATCTGTAGGGATTTCTCAAGTAGAAGTTTGTGGTCCTCTTGTTTTAACTGAAGTTAATTGACTGTCAGTTAATTAACTGAATTCTAAATGCTAGTGTAGACACTCTACAGATGTTTGTTCCAGGACACACTCATTTGTGGTTCATCTTCTGGCTTAGCCTAGCAATTAGCCTGAATTAAAACACGACCACAAACTCTAATCTAGCCTTTAGACATGCCCATCTTGGCTCTTAGGCAGCAGCCATTACTGTGGTATGTGAGTGGAGAAATGCTGTGGGAAAATGCTTGCCAACCATGTCCAAACAAGTGTCAGTTGCATCACAATCTCTTCTTTCACCGCACCAGAGAGAGTTCATAAATAAATCACTTCACCTGTGGTGGTCATCAGGATCTAGAATGGTCTTGTCTGTTCTGAATGTAATTTAAATATCTCATCATTTTTAACTAATCACATATTGTTAGTATATATTAACTTAGCACCTTTCTTCTAGCCAATGCTCATCTCATTTGCATCCGTTTTACATCTGTGTAACTGTTGACTTATGGTATCATGAGCTCGTGATACTATATATTTTTGTTAGTCTCTACGGTGCCACAGGACTACTTCTTGTTTTTAAAGTTACAGACAAACACAGCTGGGGATTAGAGATAGCGTGCAATTGAATAGTCGTGTAACCGCATGAAATTTTAGCTGTATCAGAGGCAATAGCGCAGGGTGCCAAGTGGGAGCTGGTCAATGAGGGGATCCAATTTAGAAACCAGCTCCCCATGAAGACTGGCTGCCTGCCACCCCGCACTGCTGCCTCTGTTATAGAGGCAACAGCATGGAGTGGCAGCAGCCCCTATCCGTGGAGGGGTCCAAGCTCCCCGCAGACAGGGGTTGCTGCCACGGACCAGCCTCTGTCCATGGCAGGTCCAGGCTTACCGTGGACAAAGGCTGCTTTGCGGCAGCCTCCCCGGCCCCTGCTGCCCCGCAGTGCTGCCACTCATAGAGGCAGCAGCACAACAGGGGAGGTCAGGCAGCACTGCTGGTGCTGTGGGGAACCAGCTTTTAACCAGCTCCTGCCTACCTCCCCCCACTGCCTCTGTAGGAAGCAGCAAGTGGGGGGCAGGTGGGTCTGCAGAAGCTGATGCACATGAGGAACTTGCTTGAAAGTTGGCTCCCCACACATTTCGGCTTCAGCCTGCCCTCCTTACTGTCTGCGCTGCTGCCTCTCTATCAAAGACTGAGGGAGCAGGTGTATCCAGTGCTCGTGGGAAGCCTGCTTAAAGCCAGCTCCTCATGGGCACTAGCTTCTGCTCCCCCCTTGCCGCATCTGATACAGAGGCAGCAAGGGGGAAGTGCATGTAGTCAACAGGATTAACAGATAAGCCCAAGCTTATCAGTTAATCGTTTACTCAACTATATGCCAGCATCCCTAAACATGGCTACCCCTCTGAGACTGTATTGACTGAAATAGATTTCCACAGTGCAAAGAAGAATGAGATCCCTAGTTATTACTCAAAGGGAGGTTTCTTGCTACCTCACCATCAGTTAGCCTCCCAGTGATTGTTATTTTTTCCTCTGTGTGTCATGGGTGTGAGCCTAGCCCATCTTCATAGGAACTGAAAGTCTTCAACAAAATGGCTATGATTTAGTGAGATGGGCGTCAGTGAAATACCATCTATCAATGGAGAAGCATCCACAGAACAACTCAGCAAAAAACTACGTGGGCCAATGAGTGAATGACATTGACTGTGCTGTTGTTGCTTGCTCTGTTTGTCTTTAGGGTGCTGCCGGACCATTGGTTGTTTTTTTAAGTTTTGCTCCGTACCTGTTTTGCAAGAGTATAGGGTGTCAGTCTCTAAGACTATTAGCCTGACGCCTTCCAAGGGCACTCCAATTAACTTCAAAGAAAAGCCCAGATTAGCAAGAACTTGCTCTATGCAAGTGTCTGCATATTAGATGTTTCCAGGAGTGTCAAGAACCCACAACAGAAGAAGGAGCCACAGTAGATAGTCAGGCAGAAAGTGATCCTTGGAGGGAGAGGGTACTGCAAATTCATGATTTATTGGGCAAGGAAAAATTGCTGTTAAAGGGGAAGTCGGTGAGCGTCTTAACTCTGGTGTTTTGCATCATGCATGATGTCTTATACTGCCTCTATTACCATTGTCTCTGAGAGGCTCTTCGCACTCTTGCATTCTCAGTTTTTCCTTTCTCATCTATAGAAGAAGCGGAAGCAGCCTGATTGGTTTATAGGAATTTTTTCAATGTTCTTAGTTATTGTGGGGAGGGCTTGCTGCGAGTCTGTACAAGTAAGTTCCAGAGTTGAGCTCCATTTCTCACGATCACTTCATTGCCCATTGACCTACTTCCCCCGTATCAGCCTGTAGTTTCATCATTCCAGTGGGACACGACCGCCATGGGAGGTCGTGGGTGGGGCAGCCAATCTCACAGGTGGCTGGATCCAATCCCAGGGAAGGTTTTGAATAACAGGACATAGGCCTCAAATTGGCCCCTGCTCAGGGAGGAACCAGTGCAAAGAGCAAATCACCCTGGTGATGTGCTAACAAGCAGCCTGGGATTGCTATGACAACAAAATGCTACATTTTGCACCAGATGGGAACTGTTTAAACAAAGGTGCCTTGTGCGGCCATTTCTTCCCCCTGCTCCTCTAGCCACATGCATTTGCCCGCAGGGCTGTTCAATGACACTGTAGCATTGTGGGGTATTTATATTTTGAGGTGATGATACGAAATGAATACATGTAACCCGCCAGGAGAGCTCTGCTCTGAGTGTGGTACTCGGGGGCGGGGAGAGGGGGAGAATTATGACGCTGCCTTTAAAAAAGAGAAGAGGAAAGAGCCCCCAGTGCATTTTGTTAAGGAGGAACAGATGCAGAGCCAGCCAGCAGGGTCGGGCATATCAGATATTGTGGAGGCTTTCTTGTAGTCTGATCCCTCTTTTGAACTCTCTCTCTCTCTCTTTCAGCAATGAAATTGTAAAAACCGACTTGAAGAAGCTTCCAGCCCTTCCAACGCAAGCCCTGAAGGAGCATCCATCCCTTGCTTACTGGTAATCTATGTATTCCTGTAATTGTCACACACATTGGCTGTGTCTAGACTGCATCCCTTTTCCGTAAAAGGGATGAAAATTAGACATATCGCAATTGCAAATGAAGCGGGGATTTAAATCCCCCCTGCTTCATTTGCATAAATATGGCTGCCGCTTTTTTCCGGCTCGGAGCTTTGCTGCTGAAAAAACGCGCCAGTCTAGACGGGGATCTTTTGGAAAATAAAGCCTTTTCCAAAAGATCCCTTATTCCTTGGGAAGCCATGTTTATGCAAATGAAGCGGGGGGATTTAAATCCCCGCTTCATTTGCAATTGCGATGTGTCTAATTTGCATCCCTTTTACGGAAAAGGAATGCAGTCTAGACACAGCCATTGTGAGGCAACCCTGGCTAGCTACCAGCAAACCGACCTGAAATCCTAGATCTCTGTCATTGACTTACCCTGTGGTCTTGGGCAAGTTACTTTAACTGCTCCGTGCCTCAGTTTCCCCATCTCTCAGTGAGGTGCGCTACTATTCCCCAGCCCCAAGGAGAGGTTTGAGACCCAAGTGGTTCTTGCCTCACTCATGCAAGTAGGTCCCACTGAAGTCAATGGGCCTGATTCTCCACTCATACATTATGCAGCCATTTGCATCTATGCAAAGTGGATGTGGAGTGCTCCCAGTCTGAAACGGTAGCATCTTATACCCATTTTGCACTCTTTTTGCACAGGCTTAAATAGCCACCCAGGGTACAAGGCAGTGAAGAGAGGGGCTCTGGGGGACTGCTGGCATGAGGAAGGTGAGAAGGATTGGGCCCATAAGCAAGAAGGAGTCATTGGGCCTGATCCTGCAAATCTTGTCTGCATGGACTATCCAAGGCCAAAGGGTCTGATTCTTCTCCTGTATAAGCAGGGGCTGGCCATGTATGGAAGGCTCTACTCAGATCCAGCACCCGTACAGAACTCGGAACGTGTTAAGCACTCTGTAGGTGTGAAGGGTTACATTACCTTTTCCACTTCCTGTGTTATTGTATTGAAAACAAAATCCGTTGGTGTGTTAAACACCCCATTTACCACCCACCCCTCCCACATAACTTCTTGGCCTGCCCCTCCCAGCCTTTTCAGCAGGGCCGATAGGAACTAGTTGGAGGAAGGGCCGTTCGATCCTAGGACGATGCATTGATTTGCTTTTTTGGTTGTGATTCTTCCATCTTTAAAGAACTGGGCTCCCCAAGCCTGGCAGCGAGAGAGCAGTTCACTTCTCCGCTACACCATTAGTTTCTGCAGCCTAGTAATTTGATGTTGGCAGGGAATATGGTTTTCGTTTTCTAATTTTTGATTCCCCAGAGATCCTGTCCCTTTCCCTTAATGAGGCTACACACTGGAATTAGCCGTCACTGGTGCACAGCTGAACAAGAGCTAATCTGCAAAGCTGTGAACCACTTTCCGAGCTCACTGGAAGAAGTTTGAAGAATCCCAGAGTAGAGTTCAGAAATGTAGGCTGAGGCACAGGCAGCTCGTCAGTATCTCTGTCTCTGACCCAGCACACTGATCCTTTTTGAAACCTTGAAAAGTGCAGCCATAGATGCCCAGTGCCCGTTGCTTCTTTCATGGGCTGGCTGCGCTCATAGTGGGGGAGAGAACATCTGAGGAGCCTACTGTCTCCTTTGCCAAGAGTTTGGTCTCCTCTCCAAAGGCAGACCTGACCTATTACCCTCCTATACACTCACGCATGCCCCCTCTCTGCAGGGTCTCTTTCCTTTTCCAGAGGAAACTAGACAGCTCATTCACTGCTCCAGAGTCCATTGCTTGTCACCACTAAGCCTCACCCCTAAATCCACCAGCACAGAGCCTGGGCTCCCAGCTTTTACCAGTCCATTGGGTTTTGGTCCAGCTGCGGATTTTGCTTTTTCTTAGGAACATACTGGTCACAGCCAGTTGCTGAGCTCTCACATACACCCTTGGACCTTGCCAAACTCCTGGATTGATGAGTGCAAGAGCAAAGACTCTAGCAACAAAGGCCTGGCAGCCTATATCCTCCTATGCACACTCCCTTGAACTGGAAACTGGCCACAATTTTGTAGGTCAAGCCAGAGAATCTATTTAAAATCATACGATTTACAGCGATTTAGCAAGGACAAGTCCTTCCTCCTAGTCACATGTAAGTTAACACGAGTCCTCACACACGTATGGTAAAATCATAGGAATAAGGGAGGCAGGAACATGTCGGAAAGTTGTTGGGCTTTTTTGGTAATAAACTACCCATGAGAATCCCTTGTGATCCTGGTTTCACTTCAATGACCAAGTTCTTACCCAACTTCACTATTTTGAACAACAGTTTTTCTTCCTTCATTTGTCCTCGCAGGGAATCAGCGCCACAGTCACTTCCCTGGGATATTGGTCAAATGTCAGATGATCTAACTGGAAAGAATTTGTAACTCCAATTTACTTGTTGACTTTTCTGCTGTGGCTCTGCCCGTGGGGTCTCACTGCGATGATACGGTGAAAGCAGATTTCACGCTTTCGTTTGCCATTTGCCCTCAGTTTCACGCTCTGGTTCTCCTGCCTTGGCACAAAGCTATGCTGGGATGTTTCCAGCACAGCAAGGGAATGTTTAAAATGCTTCATCGATTGCTTTTGTGGACTTACTTTCCATTTCCCAAAAGCTAACTAAAGGGAGTATAAAGCTGTAACTGCTTTGGTTAGGACAAAATAGAGATGTTGATTATATGTGTATATTCATCCACTGCAGATGTATATGACCACTTCTGGCTTCAGCTCTCTGTCATAATGCAGCTATATGTGAACTCAGTGTGAACAGAAACTACATGGTGGGCACCTTTATCTAACTGCCACTGCTTCAGTAATTGTGACGTGTAGATGCTTTGTGCCATCCTGGGAAGGCACATTCTAAAGGGGAGGACATGTGACCTCCTCTGCCCAGCTGCTCCTCCATCATCCTGTGCCCAGGCCAAGGCAGCCACCCCTCTTCCTGGCAGCCAGGCGTGGGCAGGGAGCAGGAGAGGGCTGCTCCTCACGTGGCTGAAAGTCACTGCTCTGTGCAGTGCAGCAGCTGCCTGAGAGAGTCCAGCTGGGCCCCTCTGGCCTGGCTGCTGGAGACAGGGACCAAGCCAGCCGGAAACGTGCTGGTGGAAGAAGGGGCTTCAACTCACTTGGCCTCTGTCCCCAGCAGCTGGCCCAGACGGGGTATGGCTCACTGCCACCACCGCCCTCACTAGGCTCTGTCAGGCAGCTGCTGCACAGTGCATGGAGCAACAACCCCGCATCAGAAGCAGCGGGACCTGACCCTTCTCCACTTCCCACCTGGGCCTGGCTGTCGGAGAGAGGGGCCAAGTGTGCCAGCAGCAGGCTCGGTGGGAGAACAGAGTCCCTTTCATCACCACGCCCCCCCCATTTGGTTGGTAGGCCAACCAAGGGGGAACTTGACCCTATATCAGGGATGGGCAAACTCAGGGGCTGAATCCGGCCCGCCCAGCTGATTAGCAGAGGTGCATACTTACAGCAGGCAACATGTGTTCAGCTGCCCCTCCTCCCACCTTGCTCTGTCCAGCATCAAGCTGCTTCCAGGATTCTCCTGCTAGCTGTATGGAGGGAAGAGAGGGGTGGGGAGTGCTGAAGTCAGAGTGTTCCCCTGCCGCTGTACCCCGTCTCTTCAGAGCCAGGGTCATAGAGACACACAGTCAGCAGAGCTGCTCCAATCTGAAGCATGTGACTCAGAGGAGTGCAGAACAGGGTTGCAAGGAGACAACAGAGCAGGACAGATTTCCCTCAGCCTACGTCTAGATTACGGTGTTTTTGTGGGATACCTCTGGCGAAACCCTGCCACATCCAAGGAACACGTTTGCTCTTCCACTTTTCTTCACAGAAGAGCAAACGCGCTCTGTCAGGGAGCCCTGTATACCTCATTCTATGAGGCATAAGGGCTCTGCCGAAAGAGGAGGTTTTTCCGCCATTTGGTCCCATCTAGACTGGGCCAAATGGTGGAAAAGGATAAAGCCCCGAAGTCTAGACCTAGCCGCACAGAGACAGAGCGTGGCTTCTCTCAGAAACTTACCCAGCACACACCCTCTCTCTGTGTCTGCCACACACACCCAGTCTGTGCGTCACTGTCTCTGTGCCACACACACACAATCACGGCCACACACCCTCCTGTCTCTGTGCCACACACACTCAATCTATGTCACAATGTCTGTCTCTCACACACAAAGGCTGTGTCTACACTGGCATGAATTTCCGGAAATGCTTAAAACGGAATACTATTCCGTTTTCAGTTTTTCCAGAAAAGGAGCGTCTACATTGGCAGGCTGCTTTTCCGGAAAAGCCCTTTTTCCGGAAAAGTGTCCGTGGCCAATGTAGATGCGCTTTTCTGAAAAAGATCCCCGATTGCCATTTTCGCGATCGGGGCTTTTTTCCGGAAAAGACTACTGGGCTGTCTACACTGGCCCTTTTCCAGAACAGTGTTCCGGAATAAGGACTTATGCCCGAGCGGGAGCAGAATAGTTTTTCCGGAATAGAGGCTGATTTTGTACAGTAGAGCATCGTTGCTTTTCCGGAAATTCAAGGGCCAGTGTAGACAGCTCGCAGCTTATTCCGGAAAAGCGGCTGATTTTCTGGAATAAGTGGCCCAGTGTAGACACAGCCAAAGTGTCTCTCTTTCACTTTCTCACACACCCACACACACGCACTCTTTCACTCTCTCTGTAGCTGCAGCCCCACCCCTTCTGCCTGAGGCCCCGCCCCTTGCAAGGGGCCTGGAGCCGGCCTGAGAGCATGTACCAAAAAATTTTAAGTGGCCCCCGGTAAAAATTATTGCCCACTCGTGCCCTACATGTTACCTACATGTGCACATATACATTCTTCCTATGGGCCAAACCCTGAAGTGCTGATCACCTTGGGTGGGTTTGCAGTGCATTTGGCAGGTGTCGTTCTCAGCCCAGTTAGATGGACTTTCACTAGAATAGCTTGAACTAGTGCACTGAAAATAGCAGTGTGGATGTTGTGG